CCCCCATCTGCCTTTCCGTTCCTTCATCTTTCCCCACAAGACAGCCCCCAGTAAGCAATCTTCGACCCAACAGAGCCATTAGCCACTTGTAAAGGAGAAGAAAGTAAAACAAAAAAAAAATGCAGATCTGAAAAAGAACAAAAGTAAAACCAGCTGTTGTATGTGTTTCTTCTCTTGTTTTGCATGTCATCGCTGAAGAGGTAGGGAAGAAGCCAAAAGATTAGCTTGGTGTTGTGTGTGGACACAATATGGTTGGTGGCAGTCATGCTTGACATGGTAAGAGTCAAATGGTAGGTGCCTAACCAAAGAAAATGGTGCACACCATACTTGACCAAAGAAAGAAGATTATCTCCCATACCAGCTATAAGTAAAGGGTGCCATTGATAGCTGATACAACACACGAGATAGAGAGAAACACAAAGAGAGCTAAGAGTGAGAGTTGAGTTGAGTAGAGAAGTTTTTCTCCTCCTCCTTGTTTTGTTGTTTGTATTGCTTTTAAGCTTGATTAATACAAACCAATAGCTCCGTGGAGTAGGCAAGTTGTCGAACCACGTAAATTGATGTGTGTTTGAAGCTTGAATGTCCTAACAACTGGTATGAGAGCTTGTTCTTGAAAAAGAGGGTGTTTGATCCAAACTCAAAAATCAAAGTTCTCAAAACGTGTTTTTGAACATACCATCATGAAGAGAATGATGAGAGGAATCCACAAGTGAAAACCCGGTGAAAAACCAACATCCTGAATGCTCGCATGCGCCGCCACAAGCACTGTCCACACTCACCACCACAAGCTTGTTCCTGGCCCGTTTTCTGCAAACTGAACGGGGTTGACCCGACATGTCATCAGTTCTGCACAGTCATCAGACACGTCACCTGCCACATTAGCCATTCTGTACAGTTAGCAGCCACATCATTGCCACGCCACCACTACCACATCATCTACCGCGTCATCACTGCCACGCCATCCATAAATCCACGTGGCTCCGCCACATCAGAATTGTGGGGCCAACATATCTACGTGTCAGACACGTCAGCATATCCACATCATCATACTGGGTTTTGATCAAGTGTGGCACAGAGACTATTCCTCCTGACACGTGGCTTCATCTGTAGCGTCCAGTGATCCAAAAGTTTGATTGATTAAATCTGAGCCATCCGAAGTTTGATTTGGGTTATCTCAGTGTCGTTTCCAGCATTTTTGGCCATTCTGGACACATCTATAAGGTTAGATTTTGTAGATTCGAATCCAAAAAAGATTAAAAATGGCCGATGAAATAAAGGCTACGAGAATTGAAAAATTTGATGGAACTGATTTTGGATATTGGAAAATGCAAATTGAAGATTATCTATATGAGAAGAAACTTCATCTTCCTTTGTTAGGGAGCAAACCAGAAAACGTGTCAGAAGAAGATTGGCAAATTCTTGATAGACAAGTTTTGGGCATTATCTAGTTATCCTTGTCAAGAAGAGTTGCTCATAATGTTACAAAAAAGAAATCCACAGCAAGATTGATGGAAGCCTTGTCTGGGATGTATGAGAAGCCATCAGCAAAAAAAAAAAAAACATGGCATTAAAAGATTATAAATTTTTATCCAATTATTGGATTGTGTTTAAATATTTTTTGGAGATTTATGAAGCTCGGTTCTATGGTAGGCCTAACTTGCTATACCTAGCTGAACTTTAGAAGACTCTAAAATTAGGCCTTGAAGTTGTTGTTGTTTAAGCCTATTTTGTTATTTTTGATTTCAGCAACTTGGAAACACCCCAGTTATGCTCCCACTTTCTGCATGCTTGCCTGGCAGCTCCATTTGCCAGCTCTAGCTTCATCTGCTGCTAAATCACCCACATGCCTTGGACAGTCCATCGTCCAAGTTTTAGATCTTGCCAAGTCAAGCCCCTGACTTGCGCAAGCTCTTGTGCACTGCTGAGTGCGCACCCTGGGTACAGTCGCCAAATACTGCGATGCCAAATCCGCATCTGCGTGCAGGCCCCAAATCCTGCGCTGCCGAATTCACAACTGCGTGCAGGCCCCAATCTTGCATTGCCAAATTCGCTTCTGCGTGCAGGCCCCAATTCCTGCGCTGCCGAATTCGCATCTGCGTGTAGGCCCCGATTCCTTCGCTGCCGAATTCGCAACCGCGTGCAGGCCCCAATGTCTGCATTGCCGCATTCGCATCTGCGTGCAAGCTAGCCAAATCTTGCGCTGCCGAATCCCCATTTGTTATAGCTAAAAAATAAGTTTTTTAATTTAAAAACTTATTTTAAATAATTTTTTTACATAAAAACCTAGAAAACATTCTACGAATCTTGTTAAATCAAACTATAACCTATAGAAATGCAAAACAACAGCCAAAAACCTGAAAATAACCAAAAATTAAAAAACTTCAGATATGTTTCTTTAGGTATTTTCAAGGTAAAAATAAACATTTAATTCTAACCTTTTATCATGACATAAAATATATTGTTTTGATGGCATGCATCTTCCCTAATGATAATTTCCTTTTTCTAAACGAAAATCCAGCAATCTTTTTTTTTTCTCAACCCACAAAGAACTAAAAGAAAAAAAATGAATTTTGATATCAAAATATATTTATTTAAAATTAAAGGAATCAATAACTCAATAGTTAAAAAAGATGCAGAAAAAATAAAATTTTAAAATAAATTTTAAAGTTGTCATCTATGTTATTTGTATTTTTTATTTTAGTTACCTGTTTTTTAATTCAACCATTACCCTAAAAAAATATACAATTAAGCTAAAAAAATATTTAATTATGTAAATAAAAAGTTCAAAGATTAAATTGAATTATCTTAAAATTTTATTATCACAATTTACACTAAAATATAAGATGAAGAACACTAAAGGTGTTTACAGTGAAAAGGCCATACTATTTATATTGCAGGCAATTTGTTGGCTCTTAAGCTTGGCCCCTTAGATTCGTTTGTTACAAATCAATGCCGGATGTTCAAAATCAAGGGTGATCCTAAGCCCGTTGTTCCGCATATCCGCATAAATTATTTGGACGCAAGGGTTTCCGTATTTTATTTCCTCAAAGACAGCAATCTTTGTTGGCGCCAAAAACACTTTGGCGCCACATTTGTTACTTTTTATGTCAAGCAATCCCCAGGTCTCCCTCCTCCCCTCTGTATCACATGGCACCTCACTCTCTCCCTTAGCACAGATCTCACTTTACGAGCTAACCCAAACTCTCTCCCTTTCTTGATTCTTCATTTTCAATCCCAGGTAAATTCCTTTGCAGCTCTGGTTAGATCTGCTTTCTGGAGGCCGATTTGTTTTCGGAAACGGCCGAACTAGGTCTATTAGGGTTTCTTTTTTTTTTTTGTAGTTCAGGTCGCCGAGACAGAGGTATGATAGACGAACAGTCGGGTAGACTGATTGTGAATGTTTCTTGTTGTAACTGCAAAAAATTGGAGAATTAAGAAGTGATTTGATGTTAGATTCTTTGGAGTATGAACTAAAAATCGTAATTTAATTTTGCATTTCATAATTTTCAAGATTAAAATATATAGTGTGGTTCGAATTCTGCAAGTGTTAGTTGTTAAGAGCTTGGGTTCACTCTTATAGAGTAATTTACAGTTTTTGCATGGTTTTATATAATGCAGAGTGGACATAACTCTGTGAACTGAGTGGGAATAAGACGAAGAATTGATGGTTTTGTATTTACTTTGTATATCAAAGTAGCTGTTTAAAATAAGAGTTGTAAATTATTATCAGTACCACTCATCCTTATTCATGCATCTTATACCTTAATTGATTGATTTAAGTTTTCTCTTCTCTAACCGAAATTATATAAATGTATTCTGATTTATTTCCTTTCACTGGGTTTTATGCTCTTTTATCACATCTCTCTTTTTCAATATACCCTCTGAATTCAAGTTTGCACCTGCAAAATGAAAGATGACAGTATTTTACCTGTGGTTATGCTCCATCGATGATTGCTTACACTTGCATGCGTTATTAAAAGTTTATCTTGCTTTAGGGTTTGCATTCTGGGCTCTGCGATAACAGTGAGGAAAGTACAAGTTCAAGTTCAAGTTTCACCAAATGGAGTTAAGGAGTTGCAGTCATTTGCATTTTATCCAGACTGTTGAAGGCGGTAAAATGATGAATGTGTTTCGTGGAAAGTCTGCACTAAAGTTCAAGGAGCTCAAAGATATATATGAAACTGGAGACGCAGGAAATCATCATTTGCTCCCAGCGGCTAGACCAAAACTTGAGCTCGAGGACTGGTCAATTGACAGTGACGGGGTGGAGACTGAAAGTCTACATGTGCTTGCAGGAGCAACAATAAAAATTGAGAGCGAATCTCCGGAGTCAAACTGCAGCAGTGTTGTCGATGGAGGGAAAACTGAATCAGACGATGTTAACTTTGGTACTATGACGCTGAAGCAATTTAAGGAGAGATACAAATCAAAGAAAAGGAAACTTTCACGAAATGCTGGTTTGATTGGACAAACCAGTGAAACTTGCTCCCCTGCAAAACAAGAACCTCATGACTCACAATTTGAATTGGAAGAACTCGAGGCTATGGAGCCCCTTAGTAGTTGGAAATCCAGAATTTTAAAGAGTAGGAAGAAGAGAAGAAAGTGCAGATTAGAAAGCAGCTTTTCCAGTTCATCTGAGTGTGCGCCATGTATAGTGAAATCTAAGAGAGAGAAAAGTGACCAGGTCATTTTTCAATCTAGTGGGATTTTACCTGCACCTATTGATGTTAAAGTTGAGGTCATGGAGCCTATTTCCTTTGATTGCCGATATGTGACTTTAATAAATTCCTCCGGTGGTTGTGGTGAGCTATTGGCTTCTAGTCTTGTGGTATCTAGTGGAGAGCCTGAGATAGCTGATGGTTGTGTTTTGGAGGCTGGAGCTTTAATTGTATCCGTTGAAGAGCCTGAGACAGCCAATGATGGCGGTCCTCCAATGCCCGTGTTTTCCAGTGATGAGCCACAATGCTGTGTTGTTAATGATCAATCCTATGAAGGCAGGGGTCATGTTAATCCTGAATCAATTCTTAATGTTAATGCTTCTTGTGGGGAGATATTGACGGTGGATATAGCTGAAGCAATCAGTGTCCTGTCTTCAGATTTGTCCCTGTCAAAAATAAAGGAAGAAGATTCTGTCGTAGATTCACACCCCAGTGTTGACCCCGCTGGAGTTGTCTCACCAATTAAGGGTGATTGCTCCATTGCATACAATGACTCCCAAAGTGAAGAGCCTGAAAGAGTTGAGGATCATGGTTTTGAGACTCACAAGTCAACTTTCTTCAGTAATGAGCTCCAATGCTGTGCTGTTAATGAAGAATCCTATGAACCTGTGGATCATGCTGATCCTAAATCAATGCCAGATGTAAGAGCCTCTGGTGAGGAGATAGTAATGGTGGATGTTGCAGAACTAACTACTGATCATAAGCCTGGGAGAGTTGAGGATCATGGTTTTGAGACTCACAAGTCAACTTTCTTCAGTAATGACCTCCAATGCTGTGTTGTTAACAAAGAATCCAATGAACCTGTGGAGCATGCTGTTCTTAAATCAATGCCTGGTATAAGCTTCTCTGGTGAGGAGATAATAATGGTGGATGTTGCAGAACTAACTACTGATCATAAGCCTGGGAGAGTTGAGGATCATGGTTTTGCGACTCACAAGTCAACTTTCTTCAGTAATGACCTCCAATGCTGTGTTGTTAACAAAGAATCCTGTGAACCTGTGGAGCATGCTGTTCTTAAATCAATGCCTGGTATAAACGCCTCTGGTGAGGAGATAATAATGGTGGATGTTGCAGAACTAACTACTGATCATAAGCCTGGGAGAGTTGAGGATCATGGTTTTGAGACTCACAAGTCAACTTTCTTCAGTAATGACCTCCAATGCTGTGTTGTTAACAAAGAATCCTGTGAACCTGTGGAGCATGCCGTTCTTAAATCAATTCCTGGTATAAGCGCCTCTGGTGAGGAGATAATAATGGTGGATGTTGCAGAACTAACTACTGATCATAATTCATGTTTGTCTTCAGCAGAGCTAAAGAAAGAATCTTCTGCTGCATGCCCACATCCCCAACATTGTGGGGATGACTACATTGAGGTCGGTTCCCCAAGCAAGGGTCATGCATCTGATATGGGCAATGACTCTCAAAATCTTCATGGCATGCACGAGTTGTCAGAGTCTAATAGTTACAGTCAAGTTCCTGACACCTCCATGGTTAATATCTCTCATTCTTCAGAACTCAGCAGCAGACATGGTTTACATCTCTCTGAAGATGAAGCTAAAGACGATAGGCCTCATGTTGAAGCCAGCGTGATAAGCAGCCCTGTCAGTAGCTTTATCTCATTCAGGGATTCAAATTTATGCTCAGGTCAAGATGGCTGCTTAGCATCTGCTGCAGCTAAAGAAAAGAAGGCCCCACTATCTGCCTGTGCCGATGCAGCAAGAAAGTTCTCTGCAGTAACCTGTGTTGATGAACCTGTGACATTGGCAAATGTTCAGGGACGCCATCACTCAAAGCTACAACATCTTCCTGAAAAGCTCCTTTCGACTCGGAAGGTGTGTCAACCATAGCATTTATATCCTTTAATTTTTCTTTTATATTTCTCTGAAGTTGATAAAGCAGTACCTGCATTTCAGGCAATTTCTCCAACATCTCAAAAAAAACTGTGCAAGGCTATGGAGGCCAGTGACTTAGACGATGAAGAATATTACAGTAAGTGAATAAGATATCACGTTTAGTTTTATGGACCGTGCATTTTGTTTTCCTGATGCTGGTAAAAAAACAAGCTTCATTTTTTCATTTGGATGAAGGTTTTTTACCTTGTCTTCACTCAACCTAACTCCAAATTTAAAGGATTTGTCGGGTTGTTGATGATTGCAGAGTATACAAGGAAATTATGCTACAGGAATTTGAATGGGAATAAGATTGATAGGCTTGGAAGAGCCAATCAAAACCAGAGAGTTGATCTCCCTATTAGTCCTGAGTGGATCACCAGGAAACCAAAGAATGATAAAAATGGTTTCCATCATAAAGGCATTCTCAAGGTTCCTCATCCTTCTGGAACTGTACCACGTTTTGGCACAGGGTGCAGCTCTGTCCAAAGTTGTTCAGAGAGTGCCATTTCATTTTCACAGAAGCAAATGCGTGATATCGAATCTATTGCAACTAAACTTACAAAAGAGTTGAGCTCCATGAAGGATGTTGTTCAAGAATCATGGCACTCCAAGGTCTATCCAGCTACGCCCTTGAAATATAGTGCAGATGAGGTATGTTAAGATATAAAATTGTAGACATTTTTAGCTGTACATCCAACCTGTGCCCATATCCCAAAATTTTCTTTTCTCAAAATATTAGGTGAAGTATAAATTTAAAACTGATGTTTATTACGTTATATTTTTTATGCACTATCAGTCAAATGCAGACAACAGAGTAAAAATGCACAACACACTAAAGAGGCCCTCTGAAACCAAATGAACTTGTGTTTTTGTCTTTTTTTTTCAAATCCATTTCTTTTATTTGAAAAATTTATGTTAATTATCTTAATCTCATCATCAACATGCTACGAGGTTGATTTGCAGTTTGTATCAACTTTCTTTAACTCCATCCAGTCCTGCGTTGCAATTTTTGTTCTTGTATCTCGATTAGGTTCTCTGCCACAATGCTCATAATTCTGAATTCCAAATCCGATGTAACTCATATTTTTGTGCAGAACTTTTCCGTTCACCCAGTGGATTACTTCCATGTTTAGAACAATTAATTATACACTCAAACATGGTTCTCTCTATTCTTGTAATCTGATTTTTTGTCTTGACCATTGTTTCATAATAGTTGAATGAGGCTTTTTGGCTAAACTGAGAATGATGATGAGATGGTTTGATTAAGTTCTGAAGAACACTTCAGCATAAACAGTTTAACTCCCTTTTGAATATCAATTCACCTGTTTGAGGCTGCTCGAGGACTTGACCTTTGTATTCAACCTATATGAGAGAAACCTACATAATTGACTTAATACCATCTGTGTTTTGCGTCCTTGCACCTCTTTGTTAGCATTTGAAATTGATTAGAGTTTGGAAACCGATTTATTTTTCATATTACAAGAAGCTCAAATTTTCGATGGTGAAATGCAAATTTTGCAGAATGTTATTGACAACGATGTATTCTTAGTTTCTTACATGATTTTGATTGCTTTTCATTGTGTTTGGCTATATGGTCTGAATGCATGTACAGTATGATTAAGTGTAAATTATCTTAATTTGGCAGGTGAAAATTGCTGTTCAAAATGCAACAAGAGTGGAAGAAAGTGCAAGAAGATGGCTTTCCATCATGGCAAGGGATTGTAACCGTTTTTGTAAAATCATGGTTTGTTTCTTATCATACTTCTGGATTCAGGGCATGATTTTGAAAGACAGACACTGCTTGTATGCTTAATTATGTATTGAGGTATTTACTGATATTTCGTTTGATTGATCTCAGAAATTGACTGACAAAGCTTCTGCGACTTCTGGAAATGTGGTCCTCAAGGAGAAGAGGAAGATAGTTTTCGCTGATGAGGCCGGCGGAAAGCTTTGTGATGTCAAGACTTTTGAGAATGACACTGCATCTGTCACAGGATCTAGCAGTGACAAATAGGTAAATTTCGATTAAATAAAGGATGAAGCTTTTGTCCATTGTACATTTAATTCATCCCATTTTCTTCACTTCTGGAGAGGGATGCTTTTGGATATTTGAGTGCTTATCTGATGCTTTCTAGAAAAAGGCAAAATGGGATATATGGAGTATGATGAGCTCGTCTTAATCTAAGGGCAAGTTGTGCCTGAGTTTAGGAGAGAAGCTAGCGTAAGAAAGTTGTTGTATTCAGCTGGAAATCAGAATGGTGCTGGCTCCAATTACTGATAGCCAGAGAATAGGTAAGTTGTTCAATCTTGTGTTCTTGTACCCAGCCCAAGAACAAATGTATAATTGTGGTCGGTTGGCATTTCCGATGATGTTAGTTAGCGTTACATCAACAAGAGGAAGATCACATCTTTGCACTGCATTTTGTGGAGTGTGACTAAAGATAATCCAGTTTTTCGGCCTGCATTTTCTGTTTTTATTCCTTCAAATATGATTTTCTAGCTCTTAATCCTCATACCTGACTGATTACAATTTTTGAATTGAAGATTTACAAGGGGAAACATCTATACTGCTAGGAACCTTTCCAAACAATCAAAACATCATGTATGTGCGCCATCTTTCTGTGTTTTTTTGGCCATTAATTAATCAATGTTGCTTAGCAATTGAACAGAAGCAATCTGTACATTACATCAACATTTTAAAAACAATTTAATATAAAATAACCGAAACTCAATCAAAACCAAAACCGGTAAGTTCTAATCAGTTTTTATTCTAAAATAACTGAATTAAATCAAAACCAGTTAATTTAAGCTATTTTTAATTTTTTAAAAAAATTAATTAACTATTTTTTATAAAAATCAAACCACACCCAAATATAATCATCATGTAACCTACCAATTATGTGGCCTCCCCTCCTTTGCCTTTCCTGAAGACAGAAATTTAATGATACGCTGCGTTTTGGGGTTAAAACACAGTAAAACCAACGGTCCTCTGCATTCAAATTCCATCAGCCCTAATTCCTTCTCTTTTAACACAAGCTTGCAACATCCCCAGGGACGACAAGGTCTTTTGATCTTTTCCACTTGTTCAATGACACTTGGCGTCCTAGTTTTTTAATTTTATTTAGCTTGCTCACTTTGTTTCCTGTAGGTCTATTAAAACTTATGGAATCTGATTTCCCAGCTATTCTATCCATTGAATGGCTGAATTCACAAGAAGAATCATACGAGAAACTTCTTGAAGAAAGTAGGGTTTCGGTTTCTTCACCAGCAACACCAACAACACCAATACTGCTAAAGCATCCACTAGCATCGATGGACAAAACACTTGTTCTGTCCTTTTTATTTATATTAATTTCTCTATATCTGTTTTTCCGGTTGCCATGGGAGATATTGTTAGTGTATATGTATGATTGTTAATTGATTGATTATAAGTGATATTGAATTTATTTATATAAATATATTTAATTTATTAATAAAAATTTATTTATCTTTAATATAATAGTTGATTAGTAAATTTAGAGTAAACATAAAAATTTTGGGACAAAATTTATTTGCAAAGTAAACTATAAAGTTTTTATAATTATGAGATTTCTATTGCATCAAAGTATTATTTCTAAATGTTTTTAGTTAATGCATTATTAAAAACTAAACATTAATTAGAATTGTTAAGACTAATACATATTATTTCTTTTATTTATATAAAAATATAGTTATTCTCATCAATTAATGTATAAGAAACACCTAAAACTAATATATAGATGCTTATTGGATGATATATACACTAAATTGACCCGTATAAGAATTCATATTGAGAGATTACCACCTGAATTTATCCTGCAGCTTGAACACTATTCAGTGTTTGACCCATATTTGGAGTTCTAGAAGTCTAAATGACTTTAATTTTTTTTCTTGAAAAGTTGAGATAATTTTCAAGAACTTTCATGTTTTCAAGTAGTTCCAATTCTGACGTTATTAATGATGTTTTTGGTAGATAAGAGAAGATAAGGATTATCACCAAGTCAAAAATTGGTTATCCACTCATCAATTAGTCATCAAATCAATAGTTTCCAATTTTAGCCTATAAAAGGAGGTATTTGCCATGCGTTTAGGCATCTTGGTTTTTAGATCAAGATTATGCTCTTGCTTTCTCTCTTTGTATTTTTGTAATGTTTAAGTTTTGTATTTTTGTAATGTTTAAGTTTTGCTTTCATTAATATCTTGTTTATGCCTTCATTTCCTTTTTCTTTTCTTAGTTAACTTTTATCTTATTTATATTCTTATCTTGTTTATTCATATTTCTCCCTTTCATTATGATTAGTTAAGTTTATTATGTTAAGGTGAAAAGGTTGCACTAATGGTGTAAGAATAAGTATAGTGTAAACATAACATGAACTTTAATGTTTGATACTAAATGACTAATCTTGATTTATGTTGTATAACACTTGGTACAACAAATGCTTGGCACTTTCATAGCCCATATTGTATGATATAACTGGCACCTGAGCTATGAAAGGAACTTGATTTGTTGTTAACATAAGTTATAATCATGAATTCCTTACAGCATTTATAAGTATTAGCATTATTCGAAGAAGATAACTAATGTAATCATCTTAACAATTTATAATCTGATTGGAACCTCCTTTGTGTGTGTTTTTCATTTGAATAATAAGAGTTTATACTATACTTGTTTGACATACCATTACTGAATCCTCTAAACTTGACATTTGTTATTATCATTATTTAATCCTCACATTGACCTTCCATTTCAAAGTTCTCATCAACCTCTTCTTTTTCTTCCTGCTCTTCTTCTATTATTGTTATTACTATTACTATTACTGTTATTATTATTAGTACTACTACTACTACTACTGTTGTTGTTGTTGTTATAATTTATACTATTAACCTCCCTGTGGTTCGACCCCGGTCTTATCGGGTTATTTATTACTTCGATACTCCTGCACTTGGGAGAAGACATTAATTTTTTGGTCATGTCATAAACCTTTTTAATATCTTTTCAATGTAATGTGATTGAGTTAAACCAAGATCATTATTACTTTTCAATAATTTAATTCCCAAAATAACATCAACATGACCGAAATCCTTCATATTAAAATTTTTAAACGAGAAAGGTTTAATAAGATTTATAACTTGAAGATTACAACCAAGTATCATAATGTCTGATTAGTACTTAAAAATGCATTTTTATCAAGGTTTTATATCATCATTTTGCACTTGAAGTATCAATAACTCCTTAACTAAAGCATGTTTTATAATAATATATATAATAATATAAGATACCTTTAATTTATGGTAAATGTTCATTTTAAATGTAGGCCTATTATATATATGAAAAGATTGATTGATGAATTTAAGAACTGAAATTGAAAGGACAAAGAGATGGCTAAACTTAGAAAAGAGATGTGAGTGCAGTCTAAACCGGAACACTATTCAGTAATTGGGTCATATCTGGAGCTGTATGATTAGTACTTAAAAGTGCATTTTTATCATGGTTTTATATCATCATTTTGCACTTGAAGTATCAATAACTCCTTAACTAAAGCATGTTTTATAATAATATATCTAATAATATAAGATACCTTTAATTTATGGTAAATGTTCATTTTAAATGCAGGCCTATCACATAAATGAAAGGATTGATTGATGACTTTAAGAACTTAAAATGCAAGGGCAAAAAGATGACCAAAATTAGAAAAGAGATGTCGGTGCAATCCAAACCAGAACACTATTCGGTAATTGGGTCATATCTAGATTTATAGATCTCAGATTTAGGTCTACTTTATATGGATGGAAAGGTAAGACATACGCCTATAACTTTCATAGGAGCCCAAGATCTAAAAAGGCCATTTTCAAGTCCAAATTATAGCAACAACAAAGATGCCCGAATTTGTCCTCCAACCCGAGCACTGTTCAATATTTTGGCCATATCTGGAGTTCTAGAAGTCCAAATGAGCTGAAGTTTTTACACAAGATAGCTGAGATAATTGCCTACAACTTTTATGTTTCCGAGTGGCTCTAATTTTGACATTATCAACGATGTTTTGGGTAGACAAGAGAAGATAAGGATTGCCACTAAGTCAAGAGTTGGCCACCCACTTATCAATTAGTCATCAAATCAATAGTTCCCAATTTTGGCCTATAAAAGGAGGCATTTGCTATGCATTTAGGCATCTTGGTGTCCAGATCAAGATCATGCTCTTCCTTTCTCTCTTTGTATTTTTTGTAATGTTTATGCTTTGTTTTCATTAATATCAAGTTTATGCCTTTCATTTCCTTTCACTTATTTAGTTAACTTTAATCTTATTCATGTTCTTATTTTTTTTATTTATTTTTCTTTCTTTTATTATGTCTAGCTAAGTTTATTATGTCAAGGTGAAAAGGTTACACTAATGGTGTAAGAATAAGTATAATGTAAACTTAATATGGACTTTAATGTTTGATACTAACATGTTTTATATTTGTTATCTTGTTCACTCTTTAATACTTTGCTTGTTAAATAACTAATCTTGATTTATGTTGTATAACACTTGGTACAACAAATGCTTGGCACTTTCATAGTTCAGACTGTATGGTATAACCGACACCTGAGCTATGAAAGGAACTTGATTTGTTGTTAACATAAGTTATAATCATGAATGCTTGACGAGATTTACAAGTATTAGCATTAATCGAATAAGATGACTAATGTAATCATGTTAACAATCTATAATCTGATTGGAACCTCCTTTCTGTGTGGTTTCCAATTGAATAATAAGAGTTTATATTATACTTGTTTGACATATCATTAGTGGAATCTCTAACCTTGACATTTGTTATTATCATTGTTTAATCGTTACATTAATATTTCTTCTCAAAGTTCTCATCATCTTCTTCTTCTTCTCCTACTTTTTCTTTATTATTATTATTATTATTATTATTATTATTATTATTATTATTATTATTATTATTATTACTATTACTATTATTATTATTGTTGTTGTTGTTGTTGTTGTTACTATTATTATTGTTATT